GAGTAAAGATTTCTAGGCATTATCAAAACCATGCAGTTCTTATGCTATTAAAGCTTCGTGTTAAATGCTTCTAAATACAACTATATTTGATTCCTTTATAACTTGTAATTCTCATTATTGCAGACATATGAAGAAGTGGGCGAAGATGCATTAGAAGGTAAGGTTGCTTATTGTATTTCCTCATTAGAAGTAGAAATTATGTTTCATTTTCTAATTTGGCAATTTAAACCAAATCACTTCTGGGCCAGCAGAAAGCTTTTGGAAAGATTGAAATATTGAATACTCTAGATCTGATATAATTAAATACAGTATATTTGCTAATCCAAGCAGGTATTTGAATTTACAAATATAGAACTGGTAGTGGGGAGAAAACTCCAGTTTCTTTACATTTTCATTTGGTTAAAAGTGTTTTTTTGATATGCTATATCAGGGGTCCCCATACTTGGCAACTTTAAGACTTGTGGACTTTAACTCCCAAAATTCTCCAGCATAGCTGGCTGGAGAATTCTGGGAAGCACTGGGAAGCAGTCTAAGTGCAATTGCTATATGTATGTAACTTTCCTAAGAGTTTTATAGATTTTTGTTCTCTCAAATGGATTAAAAAGCTCTCCATCGTTTTCTAAGTTAAAGTGCTTGAGATGAATGCATGGAGAACAGCCCAGTTTTGACAGCTGTATCTTTATTTCACCAGTTGCTGCATGAGCAGGCATTTTATTTATACAAAAGGTCTCTTTGTTCATCTTTCTGAAACCTCCATTTTTATTTCATCCATTTGGAGAAAACACTGAATCAATGTTTGGGGTTATGGTTTAATTGTAGATTGTTCAAAGAGGTTGCCCACGTAGGTGAAATTCTGGTTGATATTGGAACTTATTAAATCAGCGGTCCAAACCATGAAGAATTCTGTATTTCAGCACTCACAAATGTCTTCCGAAATTCACTCATGTAGGCTTCCTTCCGTTGGCAGATCCGATGCCCCAGACGGACGTGAGTGAAGCCAACAAGCAGTTTATGGAGCAGAGCGAAGAACTCTACGATGCCTTGATAGAATGCCATTGGCAGCCTTTGGACAGTGTGTCTTCAGAGCTGCAAGCCGCATAATTGCTGTGTTGCCGAGAGTGCTCCCTCCAAGCCGTGTGCCGGTGGGCCTTGGGATTCCTGCCAAAGCGCATGGAAGTCGCAGCTGCAAACGGACTCGTCCCTCTCTCTCCACCAGATCCTCAACTCAAGGATGCAGAGGACAGCTTTGGGTTCTTCCTGGACTCGTGGAGCAACAGGCAGGACCAGAGGAAGACTGTGGTCACTTTTATTTGAGATGAAATTAGAACTTGGGGACTTAGTTTTATTTCTTTTCCCTTCCCTCACCCCACACCTGCCCCCCTATTGATCCTAAGGCAAGAGTTGTTTATCCCAGCCAAGAAGTTCTAATTTATGAACTAAATAAAAGATGGGAAATCTTAATTCCAACTACAATAAAAGAAAAGTATCTTTTACACTGTAAAGATGGGGTATCTGGTGTTCTCCATAGGGTAAATGGGATCAGGAGTCAGAAGTAGGTTTGTGGAACAGTTCCATGGACGCTTTCTTTTTTTCTTCGCTGAAATAACTCTGTAGAAATGATTTTGAAGCAAAACTGCACTACGAAGAAAAAAAACAATCTTTGAGGGAGCAGGCAGAATAACTTGGGCAAGCTTTTAGCAGTTTCTGAAAGGGGGTAACAAACTGTACATTTTGAAGCATGTGGAGGCGACTTCTGTTAAAACAACCAGATATTCTGTTTTAATATGAAGAGTCCAAGGTGATTGGAGAAAATTGTAATTGTGTACTCCATAACTGGATAATACCTTTATTGGGAGCCACTCAAAGGATGCAGCAGTGTTTCCTACGACTTCAAAACTCTGCTAGTAACAGTAGGGGAAAAAAAGAAAAGAAAAGAAATATAATTCCCCCTCAAATGAGGTCTGGAATTTCTCCCATGAGGTGTGCAGTTTAAAGGCAGTCTTAATATGAAGATAATGAATTAAATGCAGTAATTATTGACAGAAATTCCTAGTGTCTGATTACAGGTGAATTGGATCGAGATGGGCAACTATAGTGAATAAATAAAATAAAATAATCTTGCATTCAAAGAATAGAAGTTGCTTCCCTCAGTTTTGAACACACAGGTGCTGTCCTTTATATTATCTTTTGTTATAAAGTGCAGAGAAGAGTGGGGATTTTGAAGCTTTGAGCAATGCTGGACCAGTTTTATAAATTGGCATTTTTAGTGTCTCTAGGTAGGACTAGAGGCCATGTCAGCCTGTGATGTCTTGCTTGTGGCTCTACAAGTTGTATTGTTAATAGGACAATTCCCACGACTACACTGCGTTTATTGTAGTGACAATTAAAGGAAAATTCCTAAAAGCAAACAGGTGTTAACATCTCCAGTGGATTGTCCACCTAGTTAAATTTCTGCAGGGAAAGGAAAATGTGTGCATTTATAGCAGGGTTTATTTCCAATTTAGAAATTGAGAGAAATTTATGCAAGTCACTAAGTCTTACCGGGTAAGAATTACCTGTAAAAAAATTGTATACCTGTGAAATGGAAGAACGAAGTAAGCATATATTGAATTGTACGATTCCCCCCCCCCCAAAAAAAAATCGGGTAATGTTGTATCTGAAAATCAGAGTACATGACCTTTCACTGCATTATGGATAGGTTATAGCTGTCAAATATTTACTCCACAGGCAGATTTGATTCGCCTCTAGATGCAAAGACAAAGGGATGGGGTAGATGGAACATGGAAAAAAAAATGTTTTAATCAGCATATTGTTTGCATTTTGGTTAAAAATTCTGGTTTTCATGAACACAAAATGGCAACTTTAGGCAACATATTAAAGTTTAATATTTCCTCTAGTAAGAGATAATCCAAACACCTGTACATGTGTGCCTATATACTAAGGAGGCATACATATTTTGCATAGGTCCTTAGCATGTATACTAGGAATACATTGAATTGGCAGCATAGGAAGTCTGTACCTGATTTTCAGCAAGGGGTGGCTGAAATGTGTTGCTAAAAGATTAATTTTCTCCATCTGAAAAAAAAAAAAAAAAAGGCAACAAACCCGATTTTCCAAGCAATTTGGTCAAATATTTTAACAGCTCTTTTGTTTGTACCTTCCAGTTGGGACAAACTGGATTAATCTCAATGTTAATACTCTATTGTTGAAAATAAGCCTATCCGTTCCTCTCTTGTTCATTCGTTTGATATAATAAAATCTTTTCATAAGAACTTAAAAGTGTGCGCCCTGCTGAACTGGAAAGGAATTGGAGTTAAAACTACATTTCCCAAGAGTCCTTTCAGGACGCCCCCCCTTTTTTTTTTGAAAGGAGCCAATCGAATTTGACGTTCATAGGCTCTATAAAAGGCGACGTCCGAGACTCGCGTTCTTTCCGTGCTCGGCGGGCCGAGGCGCAGGTTAGTAGGTGTCCGTTTTAGTAGCGGGGCGAAGCTTCTCCATCCGTCGCCATCCTCCTATTTAGCACGAAGCGATGCCTGCTTGGGCGCTGGATATCCAGGGAGGGAGCCCTCCATTCCCGGGAAGGAAGCTTGGTTCCTAGTCTGGCCGCTTTCTTTTGAGTTTTTCTCCCAGGCGAGATGGGGCTTCTTTCCCGGGTCAGTCAGTTGCTTTCACGGTGGGAGGCTTAAAAAAGGGGCGAGATCTCGCGTGTCATCCAGACGCTCCCCCGCCCCTTTCATTGCAGAATCTGCGGGAGCCCATTTAGATTGGCAAAATCCTGAGTTTTAATTTAAAAAAAGGTCTTCAAAAGGCTTTTTCTCCATCAGGCTTACCGAGCCCTCCAGAAAAGCCTTCCTTTTCTAACGGTTATGGGTGTAGTTTAAGAAGCGCCTTTTAAAAGATCCTTTTTCAGACTCCCCGGAATTTAAACCAGGTCGCTTTACTTCGTTAGCTTCGGGCATTGGTATGTATCTCCATTAACGGAGTCCGTGCTGGCTGGTGGATTCTGGGAGTTGAAGTCCTCATATGTGCTATGCAGAGGTCCCCAAACTTGGCAACTTTAAGACTTATGGACTTCAACTCCCAGAATTCCTCAGCCAGTCACGTTAGCTCAGGAATTCTGGGAGTTGAAGTCCACAAGTCTCAAAGTTGCCGAGTTTGGAGACTTGTGCTAGAGGCTAAAGCGTATCAGCTGGGCCTTGAGATCAAATCCAGCTTTCCACACTTGAATGTGTTAGATTGCAATTCCCACAGTTGCCAGGTTGGGCGCTTTTCAGCATGCAGAATTGACTTCTACATTTTTCAAGTGTAATCTGAACCATGTTTTTCCAAACCTGGCCGCTTTAAAATGATTTCAACTTCCAGAATTCCCCATCCAACACACTTCTAATTCATGCATAAAACAAATCTGCAAAGAGCAGTCATGGGGATTCCTAACCAGCAGTCAGTGCCTGTTTAGAGTAAACCTTGCACTCTTTAAATTGGAGGGCATTTGATTATTAATTTTTTAGCAAATTTATTTTAATAAAATGCCTTTGGAATAGAGTTTTCCATTTAAGATATATTAATAATTTCATTTATTCCGCCATGAAATGGAGCTTAATTATGTAGGATGAGGCTGTATGTTCTATAATATTTACATTTTTTGAAAACTCAATGAATCCAAGCTCCACAAGCTGAGATAACATGCACTGCATGATGCATTCACACAACTTCACAGCAGAGAGGACAGTTGCTCTTTAAAAATGGTTTAAATCGAGCCTATTTTACTAGTGATTTAAATGGTGATTCAAATCGACTTGATTTAAATCAAATCCACCCTGGATCCAGTTACATTACCCCTTGTGTGTCCTAGTTGTAGTTAATTTTGCAGTGATTTTATGTGGATCAAAAGCGCTCTAGAGCTTCTGCAATCACAGTATAATGCTGGAATATATAACAGTTGAGTGCAAATTTTCAACAATTTTGTAATAGGATGTGTGAATGACTGGGAGGAAAAGGGGAACAATCAGGCAAGAGCCCTTCCAGATAAACCATCGGAGGATGAAACTTGGGAAGGGCCAAACCCTACCTAAGGGATCAGGCTTTTAAAAACGGTGGCAGGAAGTTTGTCTTTCCAGACTTGCAAGATTCTGTTGACGTAACCTTACAATAAGGTAAATTTAGCTCACCTCGTGTTTCCTATCTGGTTTACCTGGGAAAGGTGACCATTTTTTCCCCCATGGCCCTATCGAAGCTGCGTCTGTCTTACCTGTGACTGATGTAGTCAAAAAGGTGCCGAAAATAATATTTTTCTTTGACGGTCGCTGTTTGGTTTGTTCTCCCATAACTCTTCAGCAACATTTTGGGGAAAATACATATTTTTCATATTGAGCGATGGCCTTTTTTGTAGCTTGAATGCAGAGCAGCATAGACAGATCAGTTCAGGATTTATCTGCGACTGGGCCAGTGTTTATCTGTCACTAGAATGGTCACAGATAAATTGGTCCAGAGCTCTCCAAACTTGGCAACTTTTAAGACTGGCTGGAGAATTCTGGGAGTTGAAGTCCAGAAGTCTTAAAAGTTGCAAAGTTTGGGGACCCCTGGTCTAGTCTAATGAAAAGGACTGGGTGACACGATAGCAATATTCCAGTATTTGGGGGCTGCTACAGAGAAGAGGGGGTCATCTTCTCCAAAGCAAGAGAAGAAACGATGGAGACTAATCGAGGAGAAAAGCAACCTGGAATTAAGGAGAAACTTCGTAACAGTGAGGACAATTAACCCGTGGAAGATCTTTGCCTTCAGATATCGTGGGCGCTCCATCACTGGAGGTTTTTAGGAAAAGACTTGGACAACCAACTAGGAGATTTGTGCCTAATTTTGGAGTCCTATAGCAGCTTGGCTTCCAGTCTAATTCTGTTTTTCTTCTTTTCAGGGGAAAGAAGATGAGGTGGATTGCTGTTTTGGAGCTGGACATGGTAGTTCATAAACGCCTGTCCCAACTTGATGTAAGGACAATTGCAGATTAGTCTCAGCAGAGGTTTATAGCTGATATTGTCGCAGCGAGCGACCGGTCCGTTGTTCCATCGGCGTTCTTTCGCTGCCTATGGAATTCCCTGCAGGGAAGAAGTTTAGAGGGACCCTCGCAAGGGTGAATACCAATAACAGACACCAGACATCCGATTGTTTTCATAGGAGGGAGCACATCACACCCGGGGCAGATGGAATGACCCAGGCAGCAGCAGCAGCCCCGAGTGCTTTGCACAAACCTCATTTATTATTCTCTTTCAAGCGGGTGGGGGAGCACACAGGGGGTAGCAGAGTTTTACCTTATATGGAAGAAGATCATAAACAAAGAACAAAGTATGTGATAGTTTGCAAGCTTGCAAGTATGCTTATCATACAGAGCTAACGTGTCCTGGGATGGAAAGTAACAACAGTCAGTGTTTCACGATCATATTGAAACATTTTGCAGTTGGCTAAAACAAAGTCATTAGATACGTGCAAACATCCCTGTATCCGTGTTTGACAATGTCTGCTTAATGGTGGAATAGCTACATGATATAATCTAATCCAGGGGTCGCCAACCTTTTGGACCTCAGGGACTACCAAACTCATAATTTTAAATCCTTTGTACCACTAATATGAATTTTGACTGATGGTGGCTTGCTGACGTTGGTGGGAAAGTTGGTCCCATATTCCAGAGCTGCAGGAGTCACAGGACTGGCCCTTTGGTCATCCTGGAGCAGCTGCTCCTCCACCCGGGTGCACCGGCCTGCCATGGACTGGAGGAGCTGCTCCGGGTTGACCGAAAGGCCAGTCCTGTGACTCCTGCAGCTCTGGAATATGGGACCGACTTTCCCACCAATGTCAGCAAGGCTCCCCAGGGTGGATTTCCCTCCCTGCCGTTGGTCTTACCTTCCAATTCCAGCTGGGTCTACCCAAGGTTTGCGCTCAGCTGAAGGGTGGGGGCCACTGGGTGGGCGGCTCAGCCTGGATTAATTTCTTTGAGGGCAGATATTTCTCTGCTGGCAACCTGTGGTCCCCGGACCACCATTTGGCAACCATTGGTCTAGACCAGTGTTTCTCAACTACCATTTTAAGAGCTACGGACTTCAATTCCCAGAATTCCTCTCCCCCTCACCAGTATGAATTCTGGGATTTGAAGTCCACCCATGTTAAAATGGCCTAGAGTGAAAAACACTGGTCTATATGCCTCTTCTTAGTTAATCTGGGAGCTCTCGAAGTGGTAGAATGGTGATGGGTTTTTTTAATGTGATAGGCAGCGTTTAATAAAAACTCATTCTGTATTTTATTTGCTAGGTCCATAGCCTACCTTTATTCTGTGCAATTCCACATTTTATTTTGGCCAGTTCCAGATATAAGAAATATCTCCCACAATATCAACCTTATGAGGCAGTTTGGACCCAAAGTCATCTATTTGGCTCTCATGCCTAAAGAATGACTAGAATTCACTATCTCCTGATTTTCAGCCCAGCACCTTAGCTACTGCGCCAGAATAGCAATAACAGTTAGACTTATATACTGCTTTACAGCCCTCTCTAAGTAGTTTACAGAGTCAGCCTCTTGCCCCCCAAAATCTGGGTCCTCATTTTACAACCTCGGAAGGATGGAAGGCTGAGTCAACCTTGAGCCTGGTGAGATTTGATCTGCCAAATTGCAGTCAGCCGACAGTCAACAGAAGTAGCCTGCAGTACTGCACTCTAACCACTGCACCACCGAGGCACTATCTCCACCCCAGTAAAATAATTTGCTTTAAAGTATTCATAAGAGGGATGCGATTTGAGTAAATCCATTCATAGTTTTTGCAAGTCACCAAAGTTTTGAGGATTCCCGAGTTCCTTGTGTCAAGTCAAAGAAACGAGTTGGCATGTTAAACCAAGAGTTGTGGCTTAGCTGATGGCCACAAGATCTCCAACAACATGCAAGAATGAGATGGGAAGGACTTTGACTTTCCAGCCATTGACAGCTGAGGATGTCACTCGACCTTTCTACATTCTCAAGCGTTAACCTGTAGGGTTGAACACCTCTTTACTCTGCAGGGTCTTATAGAGAAGTGTTAAAAATGTGCGGAACTTTTAAGATGTGTGGACTTAGAAACATAGGGTTGGAAGGGTGCTGGCTGGGGAATTCTGGAAGTTGAAGTCCGCCAGGCTTAAAGTGGCCAAGGTTGTAGACCCTTGTTCTAGTCCATCCCCTGGCCAAACCAGGAGGACTTAAAGCTGTTGAGCTGAGAAACACTGCTGCACAGTTTGGAGTTCTTTTGCTATCTAAGAGCCTTGGTGGTGCAATGGTTAGAGTGCAGTACTACAGGCTACTTCGGCTGCCTGCCGGCTGCCTGCAATTTGGCAGGTCAAATCCCACCAGGTTCAAGGTTGACTCGGCCTTCCATCCTTTTCAGGTGGGTAAAATGGGGACCCAGATTGTTGGGGGTAATAGGCTGACTCTAAACCGCTTAGAGTGGGCTTTCAAGCATTATAAAGTGGTATATAAATGTAAGTGCTATTGCTATCTCTAGGTATAAACTAGAGATGGAAGATATTTTCTTCATTTATTTCTTTTTGTTTTCATGAATTTTAAGGGTTCGTTTAAGCTGAGGGTTTATTTAAGATTTTGAAAGCCATTTTACTCGGTTCATACCAACATTCTTATTGAATTATAAAGTACTATAAAATACTTTATAAGTAAATAGAAAATAGAAATACAAAAGTAACTAGAGAAACAGTGGAGGAGATGAAAAGAGAAAGATGGGGTGGAAAAGAAAAAGCATTGACTTCCAACTCTTTCTGTTACAGTAAAACAAGTCATTAACTTCAATTCACAACTTTTTGCTTTTTCATAATGATATGAATAAGCCATTTCTACAAAGATCTTATCAGTCTAATTGGCCAAACCCAAAGTCAGATTTTCAATTCTTTCCCACATCAAGCACAAAATCCAGAAGCGGCCTCCATGTGGAACTTTCTCAATGTTCATAAGCCACCTTGAATAGTTTTCATTTAGAGACCTTTTTTTCCCCCCAAATAATATTTTCATTGAATAGCAGCTGTCTAGAAACGTGGGCTCCTTACTTGCTCGTTTACGCTTGGGATTTTTAAAAACCCTTAACTAAAGGCAATCAGTCCTGCTTTAGCTTAGGCGACCTGGAATGGTTTTTCATTCAGTCGGGTCTTTTTATATGCTTCAGTTACAGCCTGGAAGTGCTGGGTGATTGATTGGAGAAGATGCCATTATCCTCGTTTCCCTCGTAAAGACTGAGGCCAGCAGTTGAAGCCAAACAAGGTGCGCTACCTGTTCGTACTTTCCATGGAGGTGGGTGGTGTGTCTGTATGATAGAGAGAGGAGGTGGGACGAAAAGGAAGCGCCCTCCCTATCCCTTTCCCATCAGATCCAATTACTGATCTCGTGGTCAAAAAGGAGGCAGAGTAAAAACAAAACGGTCCTTACATCTTTGCTGGGATAAATCCAGCACTGAGCCGGGCTGACTTGAAACAGGTTCATTCCATCATCGTTCTTCAAGCATAAATGTGTGCTTGCTTTGGCCAAATTGGGTGGGCGTCGGATCGCATCAGGGTTGTGTTTCGACTTTGGGGCTGGGGTTGCAGGGAGGGTGACGAGATCGATGGCACTCGTGTGTGGGGGGGGCACCTGTGGTGGTGGTGGGGGGGGCTGCGAAGATGGATCCCTGCCTATTCCTTCCCCTTTTTCCTTGCGCTCTTCCCATCTTCCCTTTTTGTCTTTCCTTTCTCCTTTCCTGTCCCCCCCCCACGCCCTCTTTTCATCCGTGATGGCCTCCTGCAGCCCTCTGCCAGCAAAGATGGGGCCCCGGGGGAGGGGCACACGTTCCTCCAGGCCCTGTTTTTAGCCATGATGGTTTCCCGCAGTCCTCTGCCACAAACGGTCCCCCCCCCCAGGCTCCATTTTCACTGGAAGGGGTACGTGTGGCCCTCCTGGGCTCTGTTTTCACTGGCAGAGGCATCGCGGGCAGGTACTTCACTGTTTTCAGGGCAGCTCCTCGGACCAGATCTAAGCATCTTGCAGGCCTTGAGTTTGACACCCCTGTCTTATTGGGACCTTGACATTCTGGCAGGAGGGGGGGAGGTTTGGGGCTACGCTTGCATGGGGTTTTCCTTCGTCCCTTTCTCTGCTTTGATGTACCTTGATGTAGTTGGGAGGGGGTAAGGGTGTGCCTTGGGCCATCTGTTTTATCTCAACACTGGAGGAGTGAGATCTTGGCGCCTGGGAACTGCCTGTTAATTGCCTTCTCAGCCTGAAAGTTCTCACATCTTCGCACCTTGGTATTGGCTCAAACATGAACGGGGGCCTTGAAAGAAGTAGTTTAACCTAATGGTTCAGTGCGGGAATTTCAGATTCTGCTTATACACTTCCTGCTATCACTGTCTTCCAATAAAAGTTCCTTTTGAAATGCCATTTGTTTCAAGAGTTCTGCTTTTTTTGAGAAGGCTGGCGTGGCAGGACCTTACAGTGGGCCTTCTTAGATTTAACAATCCCCACTGTTCAAAAGAGTGCCAGATTGGGGAGGACTACGATAAAGGGATGCTGGCCTTGGTTGTATGTCCTTCAGAAAATAATTAGAATTAACTTTCAGCAGATGTGCTAACAACAGAGCCGTGGTGGCGCGGTGGTTAAAATGAGCTACTGCAGGCTACTTATGCTGGCCGCCTGCAATTTGGCAGTTTGAATCTCAGCAGGCTCAAGGTTGACTCAGCCTCCCATCCTTCCAAGGTCAGTAAAACAAGACCCAGATTGTTGGGGGCAATAGGCTGCCTCTAAACTGCTTAGAGAGGGCCCCGTGAAGCGGTATAGAAGTCTAAATGCTATTGCTATTTGTACTGTAGCTTTTCCATTCTTAGGTTCTAAGTGGTCGAAGGATCTTTTATATAGACGTGTTTACTGAATGTAGGTTTTAGGCTGCCTTCCTGCATGTCTCATTTTAACATCCTACTATTAGCATGCACTGTATTTAATTTACTACCATTTTATGGAAACTAGTTGTAAAACTGCATGTTATCAGTGCTCCCATTCTTTCTACAGGAGAACAGGATGCAGTGATCTGCCATTTTTCTTCTGGAGAAGCCATCTGGTGGAATGGACAAATGACAGCAATGTAAGTGCTCCCAGCCGATCATAGATCTGTATGGCATAATGCAATATCCAGTAGCCACCCTTTAAATAACTCTGAACATGCAGCATATGAGATCCACGCCACCTCTGCCTTGTCTATGATGAAACATTTTTCTAATGGTGACAGCTGGATGAATCCTGCGGATATGGGGCTGAGATGAGGCTGGGTGTGTTGGTGACATTATTTGTTTCCAGAAATCAAAGTGTTTGATCTCTCAGGGGTGTCAAACTCGCATTGTCATGTGACATATCATGACTCCCCGCTGCAAGTTTGACAGCTCTGGTCTCTCCTTGGCTTTCTAACCTAGTATTCCAAGAGGGAAAACTTGGGGCATACACAGTGGGATAGTGTAGAAGTGGTTTAGGGGGGCAATGAAAAAAAAATACTTGGGGTAATGAAAAATAATATTTTTTTTGTAGGTCTTCAGAGATTTCCCTGGGATTTGCTACAGGCATGTTGAAAAAGCCAAGGGCTTGCTGTGAAGATAGGGGGAAACAACTCCAACAAACATTTCTGAAATGTCTTAAAAAGCTGTCTGACAATAGTTATGTCTTTCTGTAGTTGTATGGAATTAAAGGTATTGTGTCTTTTTTCCAGTGTTGTGTGCATTCTTCTTGTTCTCTTCACACACTCACCTTAGAAGAGAGATGAGCAACATAATAAATAATGTTAAGATTGAAAATCAAAGCAAACAATACAGGCTGGACGGCTAAATGGCTAGTCTCACACAGATGCTAAGACTTAGGACTTATGAAAGTTCATTTGGTGACAAGTTACAATGGCGCTGAAAAAAGTGACATGACTGTTTTTCATACTTACGATCTGTTGCACCATGGTCATGTGATCAAAATTCCGCCACTTGGCAATTCATTCAAGATGGTTGTAATGTCCTGGAATCATCTTTTGTGACCTGATAGCAAAGTCTGTGGAGAAGCCAGGTTCACTTAACCATGTTACTAATTTAATAACAGATTCAGGTAAATGGCAAGGTAGGTCATAAAATGGGACAAAATTCACTTAACTGTCTCGCTTAGCAACAAATTTTGGGCTCAGTTGTCATAAGAATTACCTATAAGCTGCAGTTGGTTAGACATGCATAGAAGGTGCACAAGCTATAAACCCACAGTTGACATCAACCACGGTGGCAGGATGGATGCAAGGGTCAAACCTGCGTGAGCGCCAGCATTTTTCTCCATGCCTTGTGATTCTGAAGCGTCTAAAAACATCAACAGAAATAGAAACCCAATACTCAATGCTTTTCATGCACGGTTGATCCTTAAATCACCTGGATTTAGAAAAAGCTACAAGGAACAGGAGGGCTGATAAGATTTAATGGTTTGGTGAGTTCCCTTTTTAGGACTGCTGTGCCTTTCACAACTATGTCAGAAGTTCAGCACACCTGATTACAAAGGAAACAGTTTGTTTCTGGTGGGGTATTCAAAATTGGTTAAAATATACTCTCCATGCATTAAAAGTGAAGGAAGAGAGGAATGCTCGTTAGAAAGTAACTTACTGTAGCTAAAATTTCGGTTCGGTTCTGGAAGTATGGACAAGTGTGGGAATTAAGGGAAATTAATTTCCCCTTAAGACGGGGAAATCAGATGTGGTTTACAGACTTGGGGTGTGGGCTGGGGAGATCCAAGATCATCCCTCCACTTGGCTTTGAGGTAGTCTTGTGAGATGAGCAATAGGCAGGCCCTTTGGTCTTTTGTGCGTCTCTGAATAATCACGATTAGTCAAAATTAGTAACGCAGTTCCCTACCATGAAATCACGGGAAAGTCTTAAAAGTAGTCAAAAAGCAAAGAATGGGATAAAAACTTCTTTAAAAAATCAATTTTTGCTGATGAAGTTTCAACTTCTCCAGACATCAGAGGAAGTGGCTGTCTATAATGGCCGCTATCGTGGAATGTTAAGAAGCGTTGCATGTGCTACTGAAAACTTAGCTAGAGGGAAGGTCTACCTTTCAGATGAAATGAAGTTGGGAAGAAAAAGCAGGGCACCCCCACCCACCCCATTGCTCAAGGACTTTTGTCCTATATGTGCAAAGTAGATGGGAGTAAATTAGCCCTCATGCAAAATACTAGGCGCTTGCTGGCACATGACTTCAGGGCTGGTGGGGGAAGAGATTAGATAAGAGCTGGAGGCAACTAAGGAGAACAGGGAAGGGTAAAGAAGACCTCCCACTTCACCTCCCACGGCTTCCTAGCCCTGTATGATATATCTCTGCTTTTGGAGATGAGGATTTGCTGTTTCGTAAGGAACCTCCAGAAAGGTCTTCCTTTGCTATTACAAATCTAGTTTTATCCGCTAATGCCTGGAAGAATGCATAGATAACAAAGTAAGTCTGATTTTCAGGAGACTGGCATGTAAAGGAATGGGGAACTGGGAGAGCAGTCTGCACGCAGTATTGTTCTCAAGAGCTATGGGTGGACATGTGATACAGCCAATTTGCAAGGGAGGGGGAGAGAAAACTGGTAGATTTCCTTTACCTCCTCCCTTGTTTTCTTTTAAAATTTGAGTGCTCCTAAAAACACATATTGATAGAAGTTCATACGTCCTCTGAATCAACCAACAAGCCCAACTGCTCCTAGATGGGACATCTGCCACCCTCTCTGGTGAACTTCATTTCTACAGAAGTGGAATCCAACGAGGTCTAAATCTGGTCTTTGAAAAACCAGGTTGATCTTGGAGAATAAGAATTCTACATTGTTCCACAACTGCAGCAATTCAAGGAGGTTGGAGATGGACCTCACCCCATTCTTAAGGGGTCTTTAAAGGGGACGTGCATAAGCGCACCAGTGTGCCTCTCATCCCTGTCTTATTGTCCCCATTTATCTGTATTTATTTCCTTTGTTCTTGTTTATGTTCATACCTATGCTTGTTATCTTGTACAAGTTTGTCAAACAAAAATAAAAATAAATGACGTTCTGGAGAAGCCTGCTATGCTCGTTATCCAAAATCGTAGCTTTATGTATTTATATATTCAATCATTGTCTCCACCCAACTCACAAACGTGATTTTCTGATTAAAATGGGACATCAAAGAAGAAGAAGAAGGAAAAAAAAATCTAAAAATCTCACATAATGTCCCAGGCAATCCATGCTTCTGCCTAACTATCCCTCCAAAACAGAAATCCGATCACCTCCAGGCTTTGAAGGGAATGGGTTGGGTGGAGCGGAGAGAGGAGGGGCGGGAGGTATCAAGTGAAGGCTAAGAGGTGGGTTGGCTTTTCCTTGCTCCAGAGGAGACAGTAGCGGGGGAGAGAGTCTTGAGGGTGGAGACCGCTCTATCTTCATCCTGCCGGTAGCAGAACTTTGTTGAGATCAGCCGAGGGAGGACAAGATCGGGTTCTTCTCAAAGTCCCATGCTAAGAGTGCCCTCTCGTGCTCCCACTGTCAGCTGTTCCACCATGGAAGTGTCTACAGAGGCAAAATGGGGGCTGATGCTGCCGGCCCACCCACCCAGTGGCAACTGGCACTACCAGTTTCGGATCCTGCTGCTGGGGGATTCCACCGTGGGCAAAACATCTCTGCTGCGGAGATACACAGAGCGATGCTTCGTGCCAACCCCTTGTCCCACCGTGGGTGTAGAGTTCTACAGCAAGATGATGGAGCTGCCTCCGGGAATCAGGGTGAAGCTCCAGCTCTGGGACACAGCTGGCCAGGAGAGGTTCAGGTAAGGAGAACCTGGAAGGGTGCTAGAGGGTTCAAGATTGAAATATTCTAGCCAAAATGTTCCAGAGCAGGGGTATTTAGAGGTCAAAAACATTGGGCAAGCTGTAAGGGGGAACCCCATGCAAGAACTGAAGCTATATATTTGTGTGTGTGTGTGTGTGTGTGTGTGTGTGTGTCCGTCTGTGTCTGTCTGTGTCTGTGTGTCTCTCTGTGTGTGTCTGTGTGTATACACATAAACAAAGTTATATGTATATATAATTTTTATTAAACGTTTTCCAACAATTTATAACATATTAACACTTTCAACAATGTTACAGCATCGTCAGCATTCATATTGATCTATTAGTTATTGTGTTATTTTGGGGTCTATTGTCTAACCAGATATACCAGGCGTCCCAGACCAAATAATACTCCATTTCACCTCTATCTTTTAACTCTAAGGTCAGCCTGTCCATCTCCACGCAGTCTAGAATCTTTCTTATCACTGTCTCCTCAAATGGTATATTTTCCTGTTTCCAATACTGTGCCTAAACAATTCTGGCTGCAGTTATTATATGTAAAATGATATATTTGTCTGTCTTAGTATGATCTTCCTTTATCATTCCCAATAAAAACAGTTCATAGTGTTGAATTCTTACCTTGCTCCAACAGTGAGAACCAGTATGATGTTGTTATGAAGGTGTTGGACAATGTGAGCAAGGAAACATAGATTCTAGCCCTTCCCCCACCCACAGAAGGTCTTGAGGGAATAAGGTCTTAAGTTATTCTCTCAACTCCTACCTAATGGAACTGTTGTTGGGAAAATGGGACAGGATTGTTATGAGCTTTTGGAGCAAGGGTCTTCAAACTTGGCAAGCTTAAGCATTGCGGACTTCAACTCCCAGAATTCCTGAGCTAACATGATTGGAAGAGGAATTCTGGAAGCTGAAGTCTACAAGTCCTAAAGCTGTCAAGCTTGAAGACCCCTGTCCTGGAGGAAAACTGATATAAACCTACCAAATAATAATGAAAAAAACAAACAAATTGGATGTTCTTACTGAGGAACATAGAACAACAGAGTTGGAAGGGACTTTGGAGGTCATCTTGTCCAACCAGCTGCTTGAGCAGGAGAGTCTATTCCAAATATTAGCCTCTACCTAGGATCGAACTCACAGCCTCCTGATTGTGGGGCGAGACCACAACTTCAGTTGACAAGCAACATCAGCAGGGGTGTAAGAGAAAAAGGTCTGGGAAATGGGTGACAGATTATGAGCAACCTTGCATCTGTTCCTTCAGAATCCAGGGTTCCTCAGCTGTCAACCTCAGAAGGCACAAAATACCCGTGCAAGCAAATAAGCTGCAAACTTCTGCTTCTGAAGTTCTGATTTATAGACTTAGGGTTAAAAATATTGACCACAGAGCTTAGGAATCTTCACTCTTAAGAGTTGCCCTAGCGTTTAGGTGGGGATCTTAATAACTTCTTTTTCTTCAAAAATGTGATAATCCAGCCACCTTCCCTTAGGCTTGGAAGCTCTGCTATTGCTAAGGAGGGAGATGGCCTCAAACTGCAGCTTTGGTTGTAAATTAATCCCCTTGGAATGATTTGGCCTTGAGAGCTGTCCCCATCCTCCTCCTCTTCCTCCTCCTCCTGATTACATCTGATATCAGTTATCTGAAGAGGTGTGGGGCAAGCAGCTGAAAGAAAAAGGGCCTGGGAGGGCTAGGGTGTGACTGAAGCGGAGTTTTCAAGGCTGATCAGGAGATAGAAGAAAAAAAAGAACACAATGTCGGAGCATCTTAAAGACCTCCAATTTATTTTTCTTGCAAGTCTTCACAGACCTAACCGGTGTGATCAGCGTCTCAAAGTAATGGACTATGACCTGGTTAAGCTGATCTGTTAATGAGTTAGTTGTTGCTCATTAAGGAGATCCATGATCCTGCTTGTGTTGTGAAACACTGATGGGACTACCCCTTGGGAGATAAAAGGGGACACGTTTTGTTTTCATACACTTCTCATTGCTTCGGGTATATTTTTAGAAAAGGGGCAGGAATATTCTGCACTACAGGTAATCCTCAATTTACAGCCATTTGTTTTCTCGAAGTTAAACAGCGCCGAAAACAGTGGCTGTTTGTGAATATCGTAGCATCCCCATGGCACGTGATCAACATTCAGGCTCTTGACAACTGGCTCAGATATAAGGGTTGCAGGGTCCCAGAGTCAGGTGATCCCCTGTTGTGATCTTTTGGCAAGGAAAATCAATGGGGAAGCTGGATTCGCTTAACAACTGTGCTACTAATTTAACAACGGCAGTGATCCCCTTAACTGTGGCAAGAAAAGTTGTAAAATGAGGCAAAACCAGTAGTGGGATTCAATTTTTTTTTTACTACCAGTTCTGTGGGCACGGCTTGGTGGGCGTGGCAGGGGAAGGATACTGAAAAATCATGCCCTCCCCACCCCACTAACCTGCTTTCCAGCTCTGTTCTCCTGTGCAGGGCAACCAAAGGAGACCCAGCCAATCAGCTGGGACTCGGGAGGCGGAGAATAGATGGGGCGGGGCCAGGCAGAGGCGGTATTTGCTGGTTCTCTGAACTACTCAACATTTCTGCTACTGGTTCTTCAGAACTGGTCAGAGCTACCTGAATACCACCTCTGGGCCAAACTCACTTAACAACTCTCTTGCTTTGTTGTGGAAATTTTGGACTCAACTGTGGTTGCAAATCGAGGACTATCTATACAAGATCCAGGCCAGGGACATTGTTCAAGAGGAAGTTACTTTGCATGTCCAATGTCCTAAGTTCAGTGGCCTCCCCACTCCAAGATACTGTCCAGTTTCTATTACTTACTTTTCTTTTTATAACACACATACAGCAATTTTGGTAATATAATCTGGGTTAGTTACAAAGGGTACTGTTTATTAAACATTTCTGAAGCAGGCAGTTATAAGCATTATAAAACACTATCAGTTCTGTCACCCATAATTCTTATGTAGAACTGGACTGGTGCTTACTTCCTGATTTCCAGCAAAAATGCTCCATAACAAACAATGGTTATGGTTTGCTTAATGGCCTCCACCAAAAAGTTTGTAAAATCAGACGAGGTCACATGGTGACCTGCTTTACTACTGTCATGACTTACGGCTGAAATTACAGACTCAATTACAGTCATCAGTCAGGACTATCTGTATATCAATCATCTCAATAGATTTCAACTATGTTTACATCTAAAATATAAATTGCTTTGCAAACACCACTCCAGACCAAGGTCAGTGGGCGCATGATGGATAGTAACAGTTAGTATTCAGACAAGTGCTTCAACAAATAGCTCTGATATCTTGTAGTAGTAGGATGTTTATCATAGGTCATAGACCCAGACAACATAAAAACCATAGCATAACAGACATAATAAACGTCTTAGGATAGCACCTAGTTTACATAGCTATCAGAAAAACATAAGTTCTACAGGCTACAGTTATAAACTCAGCCACAAGAGTTACTTTAGGGCAGGGGTCCTCAAACTTGGCAACTTTAAGACTTCTGGACTAGCTGGCTGAGGAATTCTGGGAGCTGAAGTCCACAAGTCTTCAAGTTACCAAGTTTGGAGACCTCTGCTTTAGGGTGTTTACTTGCCAAGCAAAGTTGCACATAAAAAACCTAGAAAGAGATATTAGCAGTCTATCATGAATATCTTGTTATAGATTACAGTGAAGATTAACGTCTGCTGGAATGATTCTGTCCTCTAGATCAGGGTTCTCCAAACTTGGCAACTTGAAGACTTGTGGACTTCCGCAATCCTGAAGTCTTAAGGTTGCCAAGGTTAGAGAACTCTGCTCTAGATAACTCTGATATCTTGGATAAAAAAACTAACATTTCAATTTGGCATTTTGCCCCCTTTAGGTGTATCACCAGGTCTTTCTACCGGAATGCGGTTGGTGTGCTGCTGATCTTTGACATGACCAACCGAAGGTCCTTTGAAAGCATCTTTGATTGGTACAATGAGGTGACCAATGTGATGGACAAAGTCATTTTCCTCCTCGTCGGCCACAAGTGTGATCTTGAGTCAATGAACAGGGTCACCCTGGAGGAAGCAGAGGGCTTGGCCACTTCTCTAGGCACATCTTTTATAGAAACATCTGCCAAAACTGACACCAACATAGATCTGGCTTTCGAGACCATCACCAATGCTATCTATGAGGCTCTGAGAAACAAAGAGTTTGACCTGCAGGAAGGCTGGGATGGCGTGAAAATCGTTTATAAGAGAAGAGCAAGCAGTCTGCAAAGGAAGAAGGCATCCAAAGAAGCATGTCAGTGTTAATTGAGTGAGAACTGGATGTTACAGGACACTGGTTACTCAAAATAGAATTCTTCCTTAGACGAAACACAGACTTAATCCACTGGGTTAATCCTTACCCAGGCGAGACCATCCACAACCTGTGACCTCCAACTACTTTATTACATCCTCCGGAGCTCTTTCTAATCTCACCTCAGATCTTGTTTCCTGCTGAAAATCAATGACACGTTTTTCTATTGTTTTTAGATATGAAAGAGATGGGCATTGCTTTTTTTTTAAGAATTCTCAACTTAAAAGATTATTTTAGCATCAAAACTAAAAAGGTATCACGAATGAAGGCAAATATACGTGACCCGGAATAATGTTGCAGCCAGGATCCAACCTGGGTCGGTCACTGGAGGTTTACTCTTCCAAGTTTTCAGACTCGTGCGGTAGCCCATCCTCAGGGAACATCTTTCTCCCCAGAGGATGGACTCTAGTATGAGTCCAAAAGCTGGGAAGACTAACCCTCTGGTCCTGGTGACCGACTCACATTGGATCCTAAAAAGAGATTCCCCTCTCTCCTCAGCCCACTTTCACACATTGCTATCCTGTTAATTGCAGTTCATAGTCCCAACCTGTACAGGTGTTTTTGCCCGTTATCCTATATCCTCATTCATCCAGCTGCCAGCTTGGCTGATGGGAGATGGAAGGGATAAGTTATAAGAAGGATTGCCAGATAGACAGATGTAGTTGTCAGGCCTGCCCTGACTTGGCCCTCTAGTTAAGAAAGACCCTCAACTCCATTGGCAGTGAGAGGTGTACTTTTATTAAAAGCCAAGTGGTTTACAGTATAGCAAAGCCAGAACTGAAATTCATATGCCAAAACTCCTAGGTTAACGTCCCTCATTCAGTTCCCTTCCTCCCTTGGTCTCTCATTGTCCAATTACATTTGAATAAATTGTTTTAGGAACGGTCTCTTCAACAGGCGGGTTGGTGAGCAGTTCCATTGCATTCCCAGGCTTTGACCTTGAGATGTTGTCTCTGGAAGGTAGGATGAGTAGTTAGTTCTTCCCCCCTCCCATCCAGCTCCCTCCTCCCCATAGTTCATGGCAGACTGGCAGCTGGTGAATGCGAAGCTCAGGCATATGACGGCGGTACTGACAGTAGTGCTCAGATGGCTTTAAGAAATGTCTGTTGAGCTAGGATGTGGAGTAAAGACGCCACACTAATCCCAGCACCATTGTGGAGTCTTCTGGATTTTGCGGGTTAGAAACAGGTTCTTTCTTTTAAAACACTCTGCTAGCTCCATTCAGTTGCCCTGACCCCACCCTGCCAGGGATTATGGGGTCGTTAAATGAAAATAATGATGATGAAACAGGTTCTTTCCATTATTCAGTAGAGAATCTTGTTGTGATGACCCAGAGTGGGATACAAAACAAACAAAGAAAACAGGTGAAGCCCCTTTTATTCCTTCACTTTGCTTCCAAGCTCCGAATATCTTTGATGGAAGACAAAAATACTCCCACACAAACAGTTACAAGAAGAAGGAAAAAAACAACACAAACCAGGCAAGATAAGGGCTGGAGGACGTCCACAGATAACACACACTGGGAAGGATGCCAAACTCAGAGAGGAACCATAAACTAGAGATATTTCCAAGCTTTGTTTCCAGCATCCTCTTATTCAGTTGTCACAGCTGCAGCCCATGAAGAGGATCAAGGCCCTCTCCTCCCGAGAAGACCATGTCTCTCCCTTATCCTCTCTTCCCTGCGTGCCCTCGGATGGAGAGGGGATGGGCCTGGGTCCTCCTCTGACTGCCCAGCCGGTCTCTGCCCTTCCCCAGCCTCCTCCCCAACCTCTGGAGCCACACTTCCACTCCCTGTCGGCTGTTCCTCCTCTCCCTCAGAGTCAGTCTCCATCAGGGGCAGGACACTTGTGTTTATCAAATGTTTTGAAACAGTCTTCGTTTCCACAATGTCACCTCCTTAACTTAAACTTAACTTTAAAAAAAAAAAATCCTGAAAATATTTAATGTAAAAAAATATTTACTTCCTTTTTTAAACAGTAATATTAATATATAATAATATGTATGGCTTTGTTTATTGTCATCGTCTTCACTGGCCACTTTTGCATGCTGGGTAGCGCTCAAAGCACAATAAATATTCTCTTGGCGTGTAATTCTTGAAATGAAGTGTTTAAAACATTGTTCTGCCTATTGCTGAAGGAAAAGTGATGCTTTCCCTGGGTTTGATAGTAAACAATAGCCCTAACTCTAACAACAAAATAAAAATAACTTCCTGAGTTGAAATCCACTCATGATCTGTTGGGGACCCATGCCTACAGCTTCCATGTGATTTGGAAGTGGGTTTCCTGCATTTTCTTGGAGTCGTTTGCTTGATTTTCGTAGTTTAGCCCATAGCATGTGGATTTCCTAATGGTCTGTCAAAGTCATAATATGGACCATCCCTGCTTGCTTGCTTGCTAGATTAGCCAACATTGGCTTAAGTTTCCTTTTCTAGCTGAACACCACACTTACCTCCTAGCTGACCCTCATTGCAGAAATAGCCGTGAGAACCAACATTTACACATAAATATTTAAGTAAACTTGCACACAAATACAGACAGGTTTTATAAATTCTACTTTTTTTTTTACCTATGTGAGCTTATTGATAAAGTCTGTCATTTAAGGTTGATCCCTAAACTTTGCTCACCATAAATAAGTCCCATACTGCATTCTAACCACTGCACTACCAGGTCTCCAAGATTTAATCCACACGTTGCATTAAACAAGCTTATTTAGTCTTGGTGAGATGGTCCAGCAAAACAGGTAGTCTTAGGTAGTCAAAACAGGTAGTCATAGACGTATGACCACAATGGAGCCCCAGCCTTTTGTTGTTAAGCAAAACATTTGTTAAGTGATTTTTGCCCCATTTGACCACCTTCCTTGCCCCAGTTGTTAAGTGAATCACTGCAGTTGATAAGTTAGTAGCCTGGTTGTGAAGTGAATCTGGCTTCCCCATCGATTTGGCTTGTTAGAAGGTCGCAAAAGGGGATCATGTGACCCCGGGACACAGCCACGGTCATAAGTTTGAACCAGTGGCCAAGCATCTGAATTTTGATCTCCTGATCATGGGGATGCTTCAAAGGTCGTAACTCTGAAAAACGGTTATATGTCACTTTTTTCAGTGCCGTAACTTTGGACGGTCACTAAAATGAACTGTTGTAAGTCGAGGATGGCCTGTATTTTCTTTCTCACAGCCATGGTGCATATATGTAGTGCCTTTTTAAAGGGGACATTGGCTTCCTGTAAACTGGCTTTCTCCGTGACTGCAATATACCAGATGTGCGCAAGGACACACATACATGTGCATCAACACACAGACAGAATTGCCTACTGATTAGGCAACCACATGTTAGCCTAGCATGTTATTGTGTAAATTATTGTTCAGCTACATGGGGTCAGATTTGGGATTCAATTTTTTTTTATTACCAGTTCTGTGGGCGTGGCTTGGCAGGGGAAAGATACTGCAAAATCTCCATTTCCTCCACACCAGAGATGGTATTCAGAAGGTTCTGGCCGGTTCTGCAGAACCAGTAGCGGAAATTTTGAGTAGTTCAGAGAACCGGCAAATATTGCCTCTGCCTGGCCCCGCCCCCATCTATCCTCTGCCTCCCATCGAGTCCCAGCTGATCGGCTGGGTCTTCTTTTGTTGCGCTGCACAGGAGAACAGAACTGGAAAGCAGGTTAGTGGAGTGGGAAGGGAGTGGAGATTTTACAGTATCCTTCCCCTGCCATGCCCACTAAGCCATGCCCACAGAACCGGTAGTAAAAATTTTTGAATCCCACCACTGCTCCCCACCCCACTAACCTGCTTTCCAGCTCCATTCTCCTGCGCAGGGCAACCAAAGAAGACCCAGCCGATCAGCTGGGACTCGGGAGGCGGAGAATAGATGGGGGCGGGGCCAGTCAGAGGTGGGATTTACCGGTTCTTCAAACTACTCAAACTTTCCGCTACCGGTTCTCCAGAACTGCTCAGAACCTGCTGAATTCCACCTCTGGTACACGTTGGCTGTGTTTGCACCACAGCCTCCTCTGAGTTTCAGGAGGCTTTCGTTTCCTCTTCTGCCTAAGGAGGCAACTTGGATGCTCATTCCCCACAGAAGGGAAATCCTGCAGCAGGCTGGAATGTAGGTGAAATGTGTTCTTGCTGGCCTGGCTTGGCCTTGAATAAACACGGCCCATTTTCAGGGAGGAGCAGGACAGGGAGAACTCGCACATCCTGCCTGCCTTAGGAGCAGACTGCCTGCCTGCCTGCCTGCCTGCCCAAACATGGAATAAGAGCACCAGAGCCTCGGGCGGTCGAAGGGAGAGCAACTGTGCTAATCTCAAACAAGTCTCAACCAGTTTCTTACCTGGGTTAGAACTCAGCTTTTTCCACTGCTTGGGACTCCAGGTCGAACACCGGATTGGAACGTATTTTGAGCTGGCATGAGCCTTCTTGCTCCGCTCCACTGATGCGTCAACAGACCCACACAGATCCAGGCATACAAGAGATAGCAGCTTCCAGGGGTCTCTCTCTGTCTCTCTCTGTCTCTCTCTCTCTCTGCCAGCCTCCCCATGGCTGTGGATTCTCCGTGGGACTATCAGTTCCGGATCATCATGCTGGGCGATTCCACGGTGGGGAAATCGTGTCTTCTGAAGCGCTACGCCGACGGGGTCTTTACGGAGTCCATGAACCAAACTGTGGGGGTGGACTTTTATGTCCACTTTCTGGAGATGGAGCCCAACCTGTGTGTCAAGCTGCAGTTTTGGGATACTGCGGGCCAAGAACGGTTCAGGTGAGTCAGGGGAGGAAGGCTGGTCTTGAGATCTCTCAGCCAAAAGGTCAGGAGCCATGGACCTTTTCCCCCAAAGGCTTGGAAGATGCTGGTGAGATGAGTTGAGGGAACCTGAAAATGAAGGAAGGCTTAAGCTTTGCTTCCTTCCTTGTTTGGAGGAGTTTAAAAAACTTTAGATTCGCAGCATTGTTTTTAGTTAGAGAGAATCAAAAGGAGAAGTGTTTCCCCTTTTGCATTTGGGCATGCAGGCAGGGATAGGGAAGGAGAAAGGGGAAGAGAAAAGACGAAGAAGCAAACAAGGAAAAAGAAGGAAAGAGGGGAAGGAAGAGGGAAGGAGAATGAAGAGGGAAGGATAAAGAAGAAAGGGAAGGAAGGAACGTTATAATGAGAATGAAGGAAGGTCTCAGGGAAGTCCTGCCTTAGCCCCCTGACACAAGCGACATCAAGCTGCCCATGCCTATCATGTCCACATCCGCACATACCCCATGTCACCCCAGCCCTCCAAGGTCAAACACAACCCTGATGTCGCCCTCATTTAAATTGAGTTTGACACCCATCGTAGAGTATGAAGACAGTCGGTGTAATGTGCAGGCAGTCCTTGCCTTACGACAACAATTGAACCCAAAATTGATGTTGCTAAGCCACTTGAGTTTTGCCCCATTTTACAATCTTTCTTGCAGTTGTTAAGTGAGTGACACGGTTGTTAAGTAAATCCGGCTTCCCCATTGACTTTGCTTGTTGGACGGTCGCAAAAGGGGGAAAACACACAATCTCTGGAGTCGGGATGCTGCAACTGTTATAAGTACATGCCAGTTGCCAAGTGCCTGAATGTTGGTTGCATGACTGTGGGATGCTGCAATGGTTCTAAGTGTGGAAAAACAGCCACAATGTTTTCCAGTACCGTTGTAAGTTGAGGACTAGCTGTATTGATGCTTTTTATTATGGGATGTGTTTTGGTGTTAGTTTTTTATAGTTGTTTGTATTGTGTGCCTGCCAGGGTCAACTTTTTGAGATGGATGGCTGTGTAAATGTGAGGAATGAGCAAACAAAGGAACAGATGGGATGCAGGAGGAAAAGAACAAGAAATAAAAAGCAATGCTATGATAAAGATCTTACTAACTGCAACAGTCCTGTGATTAGATGTTCCCAGGGAAAGAACAAAGCTATTTAGTCTCAGAGGAGCTAGAAGACTCTGGCTTTTTCTTCTTTCCCCTACAAGTAGTTTTTCATCTTCCAATCATTTATTCAGCAACTATTCAATGTTTACTACAGCACGGAAAAAAGGAACTTAAGGCTGGCCTCTGCACTTACAATCATCACATGACTGAACTTCCTGTACTTGACAATCGGCAAGACTCCAGCACACGCCACTGGAGTCACCTTATAGAACACAAAAAGTAAAAAGGGCATTGCAACTGACCACAAAAAGATGAGTCAGAGTTGCTGTAATCTAAGAATCTCAGCACCCAGGTGAGACTTAGATGATTCATGTGACCATAGAAAACTCCACCTTCCTTGTTACTTCGCCTCGGTGCTCCAGGTAGGGTGTCGATGAGAAACTCTCAAGGATACAGAGAATGGCACTGTGGGAGTAAGTCTTCTACCACCACATCCAAAGGAACATAAAATATCAGAGCAATATTACACATTAATGGAGAATTTGAAAGCTTAGTTTAACTTGGCTAATTTGACTGAACATCTTAGTTCAGGGGTTTCAGAGTTTTTTGGGTTTTGGAAGTGGTGCATTTTGTGTAAAAAGAATCTGGAATCCCTGATCAAGAAGGGCAGCCAAGTAATAGGAAATAGGGAATGAAACGAGACTTGGGCTTATTCTAATGTATTTATGCAAATGTATATATTAAAAGTTATTGGGATTTCACAAAAATAGATGCCCCAGAAAGTTCCTCCAAGTATTGTAACTATAAACAGTAAAGTGCGTATTGCAAATACAAAATTAATGTTTACAAAGCACTAACATTAAATTGGAAATAAAATTAGAAAGTTAATGTTTTTGCCAAATGCAGCAATCTTCGGTGACTGGGAAGCAATTACTTTCCTTAGGAAAGATAGAAATGGAATATCCTGGCTCCATTTGGGTGAAAGAGATAGATTTGTCCTTAGTTTCTTGTTGAATTTAAATATAGCTTGGAAAACCCTATTCTAATTCCTTGTGTGTCTGATCACACTTAGCCAATAAAGAGTTGAGTTGAGTTGAGTTGAATTCTATTCTCTTCTTGTTGCTAGTCACGAAGTCGTGTCTGACCCATCACGACCCTATGGACGATGTTCCTCCAGGCCTTCCTGTCCTCTACCATCCCCCAGAGTCCATTTAGGCTCACGCCGACTGCTTCAGTGGCTCCATCCAGCCGCCTCCTTCTCTGCCGTCCCCTTCTTCTTTTGCCCTCAATCGTTCCCAGCATTAGGCTCTTCTCCAGGGAGTCCTTCTCATTAGCTGGCCAAAGTCTTTGAGTTTCATCTTCAGGATCTGGCCTTCTAAAGAGCAATCAGGGTTGATCTCCTCTAGGACTGACCAGTTGGATGGCCTTGCAGTCCAAGGGACTCGCAGGAGTCTTCTCCAGCACCAGAGTTCAAAGGCCTCCAGTCTTTGGTGTTTAGCCTTTCTTATGGTCCAACTTTCATAACCATACATTGCAACTGGGAAAACCATAGCCTTGACTATACACACATTTGTTGGCGGACTGATGCCTCTGCTTTTTAGTGTGCTGTCTAGATTTGCCATAGCTTTCCTCTCCAAGACTAGACTATTCTCTATTCTCTTCTATTCTCTACGCTCTACGCTCTACTGTAACTCTATTCTATATTTTATTTCTTTCTGTCTTCTTGCAATATTTTCATGCTCAACAAATCTTTCTGTGATGTAGATCAGTGACACGTTCCTACTACCGTAACGCAGCTGGGGGAGTCCTGATGTTTGACCTAACCAACCGGGCATCATTTGAGAACATAAGGATCTGGCACCAGGAAGTGGTGGACACAGTCAAACCTCACCGCCCGGTTTTCGTGCTGGTGGGGAACAAGAGTGACCTGGAGGCTGAACGGAAGGTGGGACAAAAGGAAGCTGAGAAACTGGCGGTTTCCTTTGAAGCCAAGTATATCGAGACTTCGGCGAAAAGCAGCAGCAATGTGGAGGCAGTTTTCCAAATGTTAACTCTGGGCATCTACAAGGCCTTGAAAAGTGGGGTGATGAAACCTGGTCCACAGTGGGATGGAGTGAAAACCAAACTGCCATCGCCGGTTCACTCAGAGGTTTCCACTCAGGATAAGAGAAAGAAATGTTCTTGCTAGCTGAAGACAAGAGCCACTGTGCAACTGGGACAACGTTGTGTTAACGATTTTGCAAAAGAATTGACACATTGCGCTACCCTGTGGGTTGTGAAGCCATGATTCATTGAGTAAGCCACTATGGTTTAAGTACACACAATCTGCAGAGTCCTTAACTATGATTTATATGTGCACTATGGGGTTTGCAGAGCACAGAAAATTTCTCAAAAGCAAATTTTGTAAGCCTACTTTGTGGGCACTAATCTTGAAGACTCCATCACAAGAGGCCTACGGTCTCATTTATTCTTGCAAGCCGAGTAAAAAAAAAAAGTGTTCAAGTGTAGCTGCCAAGCTAGGGTTGAACTCATGAAGAATCAAGCTGGGGAAACCTGTGGAGCAAGGTAACTTATTTGGTGTGGCGGCTGTGTGCAGTGGTGGGGTTTAAATTTTTTTACCCCTGGTTCTGTGAGCATGGCTTTGCGTGTGCGGAGGGACCTTCCCCTGCAATCCTGCACTCTCCTTGTCTTCAACAGCTGACACGCGGCAATCCGCTGTGTCGTGTGAAGCAGCTTAGCTTCAAAACCAGGAAATAAAGATCAGAATAGAGCCAGGTCGGATGGAACGGCCTAGCAGCTGACTATTGGAGTGAACCGATTCGCTCACAGATGATCCTCGGAACTACCTGTATTTTGTATTTTTTTTAGTATTTATTTGATTTGTCAATCGCTTACAAGATACAGGTATAAGAATAAATATACTGTAGTTTTGAATACATGAGATATAAGAAAAATAAAAAAACAATAGGACAGGGACAGTAGGCACAATTGGTGTCTACAGCCCAGGCCACTGGGCTGTAGACAACTTTCCATACACATCTCTAACACTTAAACAAGGATTCATGGATTGTCAGAGCTCAGCTTGTCTTTCCTTGGCAGTTACCTCTCACACTTCTAGCTACTCACTGCACTTCACATGAGAGCTGTTACATAGAGAATCATTTACTCTTGCAGGATCTACATCTCGGGACTTTAAAAAAAATTGGATTGTTTATTAAAAGTGTTTCCATAAATTATTTAGTGGTAAGGAAAGGTCCTTTCCCAATCTACCCATTGTCACTGAAGCGGTGGGGATGATACAGAATCTTTTTTTTTTTTTAAATTAAGATAAAAATTGATACAGGCTAATATAAGAAAGAAAAGAGAAAGCTAATGCAAGAAAGGGAAAACTGTAAAAGAAAAATAGAAAAGAAAAAAGATATGAGGTGACTTCCATTCTTTGTAGCAGTTAAAAATACAATAATAAATTTACCTCTATTAAGATACATATGCCTTTTGTAAGATACATATTGTTAAGATACATATGCCTTTTGTATTTATTGTTGAAAATCCTGTACTTATTCTATATACCTTCTCAACGTATACCTCTGATTCCTCATCTCAATCAAAAAAAATTGCTAAAGCTTGAATAACCTTTTCTGTAATATCTTCACCAAAATACTCTGGAATTACTTTAAATCTCGAACAAAATTCCTTCAGTTCCAGGAAACCAGAATTATTCTTGTTAGGGATATTTAAAAAGAAATGTGGGAAAAATATAAAATATATAATATTACACATTTTAGCGGCTGCTAGAATTGCCTACGTTCAATGTTGGAAGCACAATTATATACCATCAGAGAAATTGATCATTCAAAAAATAATGGTGTGTGCTGAGATGGATAAATTAACCCGGATGTAACGAGAGAAAGAGGACTCTGAATATTATAGAATTTGGGGAAAATGATATGATTGGATTGAATTAAGACAAATGGATGATGAAAGAATTAATGATAAGCAACCTATAAAGGTTTACATTTGCATAAATTGTATATTTTTGTAAATAAGCACAAAATAGAAGATTGAGATAGATGTCACATACTGTTAATGTCATAATATGTATATTTTTGGTTCATTTAAAGATATAAAAGACTAATAAAGTTTAATTAAAAAAAGAAATTATCTAATTCTTCTTTCAGCTATCTGTCCATAATTTTTATGTTACTCTCAAGAATTTGCACTTTGCTGTTGTTTTACATTTCCAGACACTTGTTTTACAGAGGCTTTCTTCAGTAAAACTTATCACAGCCTAGTCTAGTCTATTAGGGCCATGGTGGTGCAGTGGTTAGGATGTAGTATTGCAGGCTAACTCTGCCCACAGCCAGGTGTTTGATCCCGACGAGCTTGAGGTTGACTTAGCCTTCCATCCTCCCAAGTTGGTAAAATGAGGACCCAGATTGTTGGGGGCAATATGCTGAAAATGTAAACCTCCGAGTGTGAGAGCAAGTCTCACGAATTCCATCTGTACACATCCATTCACACCTTCAGATAAGCACAGGGCACAACGTTGCATGTCATCACTACTCTGTGACATTAAAGGATGATCAGCATTGTGTCCAAGTGACAATATATTGTCCTTGATATAATTATGCTTAACACATTCTTACATTGCTTCAAAATTTGCTGTTTGATCCTCCAGTGACAAGTCAGCTTGAAATGGGACTAACATAAGCATCATCTAACAAACCCAATACCATACAGTATATCACTTTCTAATCTGATTGGTAACCAACTCACTCCAATTTAAGTGGCAGATTAACTATACCATCTATGCCGTCACTATGCCAACTATGCCATCACTATGAAGATGCTTTTAATACCAACCCAGCAACAAATGAAAAGTAGCAAGAGTTTGAAATAAATTTCTTCCAGGTAAAACTTTTATTAAGTGGCACTGCTTGTTTCACTCTTACTGTCATCTTTCCTTTGTAATTTTCCTGGGTTTTCCTCAAAACAAATGCAGTACACACAACAGCTTTAAAGGCGAGAGGTACTTTCCAGACTTAACAAGTTAAAACATGCTTAATTCCACAGCAATGCAATGTTGCAATCAGACTTCACCTTTTTAAGCACTAAGGATTTGATTTTTTGGAGAGAAAAAAAACCTGTTATAATTTCCTGGAATACCAAATGATATTTAAGTATCGCAACTATAAAATATTCACAGATTCAATCAGGCATAAAGAGGAGGGAGTTTTCCAAGCTTCTTATTGGTAATTAATTTAGCTTTCAGTGACAAAGAATGTAGATGCTAAAGACATTGCAGCTGATGCTATTTCAGATTCCTAGTTTCAGATCTATGTAGCTGACGTTGGATGGGGTGGCTTTTAAAAGACAAATGGAATTACAAGTTGTTGATATCAAGATTAGGAGAAACTGACTCTGAAGCATGGCATTTGCTGTGACAACAGTAACTTTTAAGTACCCATAATTTCACCTTAGGTTGGTTTTGCAGGTGCCTTTAAAATAAACAGCCCACTTCAGTGTATGGGTGCAGCCCACACATACATATCATTAACAAGGCTGCCAGTTAGAAGTGGTGGGAGTTCCATCTTAATATACCTGGATGGAGGAAAGTAGATTAAATGTGCTAATCTAAATCTATTCAGTGGTTATTCCACCTTTTTTTTCAACAAAAACAAAACAAAAAACCAATTCCAAAGAATGCACTAGAAGCTGGACTATACATGTGACATTCTACGGCTTCCATTAAATCCCATAAACAAGCAAAATGTACATTGGCAGCCCTGCATGGAAATATCTCCTGTATCACATGGAAATGTCTTCGCTGTTAATAGCTCTTTAAGGCCAGAAGCTGGATGCAGGTCAGTGGCTAGTCCCAGAGGCAATGAGATGAAAGGGCCCCACGGGAGATAGGCAGCTTTAACAATGAGATAGGACAGAAATCCATGTGATTGCTGGTTAAGGCAGGGTTTCTTAACCGTGGCAACTTCCCTAGCGTGATGGCTGGGGAATTCTGGGAGTTGAAGTCCATACATCTTTTAAGTTGCCAGGATTGAGAAATACTAGGTTAAAGAAGTAGACTGGGTCTTGGGAAAATACAGCTCCAATCCCCTTGTGAAGTTCTGAATTATTTCTAGTCCGTTCTTTCTCAATTCTATAGCTTCTGAGAATAAAATGAGAGCTAATGTCCCTTCTACACTAAATATTACTCTGAGAAAAGGGAAGATCTAAAAGGATAGGAATATAAGAATGTTTCACACTGTTCATCCTACTAGGAGGAGCACTGCGGTCTTCCTAGCTGGTTGATGCCATTTTCTTATTCAAAGCACTCAATAATCCTGGATGTCATCTTGGCATAATTCATGAGACACCTTAGAAAAGCAGATACACAGGGTATTCATTTATTGTTACATTTTCAACTAATAGAAACTTACACAAATTCTTCTTTTAAAGTCCCTGCTGGGTGGCTCAATGCAAAGCTGAGGCAGTCAGCACTTATAGTGAAAACGAAAGACAACGAGGATGGTGGAGGGACCCAGACCAGTGGCTGTTTCCTCAGTTCAGAGTATGGGCCAAGCCGCCCCCCCCCCCCGCTGCTCCAAATGTAGCTTATCAAGTGTGAAGTGGGGGGGGGAGGATACACATTTTCTGCAAGCTTCTGCTTCAGCAGCCACCTTCCCCTCCAGAAGCAGCGAAGTAGTTTTTCACCATGCACGAATATCTGAAGCAGCAGCAAATACTTCTACGCCAGTAAAATGCTGGGTGTCAAGTGTGCTTTTAGAATTCAGAACCTTCCTGGGAGGAGAGGGCCAGCATCCAATCAAAAGGGGCATTTCACTCAACTTACAAGGGGGAAAAGGAAAAAAAAAGAACCACATATTGTACCAAGGCTTCTGGATGCAAAGAAGGGTGAGGGATCCCATGCCACAGCCATTGGACAGAGACTATATATGCATCTTGGGAACCGTAAGGCAGTTTAACCATGCCTGCGGGCTGCTTTTTTTAAAAAAGAAAAAAAAAATTTTGTAGGTCAAGCCTTGTTTCTACTGCATTTTTATAGGGCTTGGGGTAGAAAAAGAATTCAACTTACCCCAACATCCTGAGCATTAAATTAAAACAAAAAAAAGAATAGATTTTCAACTGAAGTTCCTGTCAATACTGCGGTCTGCTTTTGAGACCCATCATTCATTTTCTCTGCAAGAAGTCCAAATACCGTAAATAGCAACCTTACAAGTAGCTGAGAGGGAGGGAAGGGATGATGAAAAATAATAATAATAACCTATGGCCACTTCTAATACTGTTCTCAAAAATAGCAAAACGTTTTATCCCTTGGGCAATCATGGATACCGTAATATCACTTAGGAGGAGGAAAATAAAAGTCTATGCTCCGAGATAAGTTCCTTTGGGGGAACAGATGTGAGGAGACCGACTGGCGGTTGGCAAATCTTCTCTTAATAACCCTTTTATTGCTGCACTGTGAAAATATACGCTTCCCTGTGAAGCATTGCAAAAAATAAATTTAAAAATTATCCCTTAGATGACCTCAAGGGTACTTTCCACAGCTTCAGAGGCAGACTTTTTTTTTTTTTTCCTCATAGAAGAGTCTTTTTCTTTTCATTTCTCTGTCTTTTCCCAGAGTTATTTCTTGGTTGTTTTGCGGATCAATGCCATTCTCTGAAAAGAAAAGGTGAAAAGACAGCATGAAGATGGGTCTCTTGAGGTAACGGAAGCTGTGGATGGCCTCCGTTAGACTTCATAAGTTAGACTAAGAATATGATTCATGGAACTCAGACAGGTAATTTTACAATTCACCCGACAATCCACCTCTCCAGAGTACCAGCAGCTGTTGAGTTCCCAAAACTGGCTTGAGGCTCCAATTAAAGAGGTCCATCTCTTCTCTTTTTCCCAGTTTAAATTACTCCCAAGGCATATCATATCTCCCAAGTTGCTCTTTGAGCTTGAAGGAAAGATACCTAGCCAATTCTGTTCATTTCCTTACAGGCCATATAGTAATTTCAGGGTAGGCAGCCCTGGTTCAGAACAACATTCCCCACAAATTGTATTTTTTTTAATAAATAGAACTGAAATGATTTATTAAGCTGGGGGGAGAAGAGAGTGAGGTGAGGCTCAGAAGGTCCTATTTTTTTAATACTTAAATCATATAAACGATTAAGGAAAGAGACTGAGGCATGCGTCATGATTTTTACAAAAGCCAAGGTGGAATTTGAACATTAGAAACTGGGCATGAAGCTTCAACTTGTTTAGCAAGCTCTGTTTTTCATTTGAGATATTCCCTTTTCTTGCTATTTATCATTGGTTTGATGGAGCAGAAAATATCTGCATCACATCATTTCACTTAGGTGTGAATTATGAGGGGGTAGGGGGAGAAAGAGATCCTTACCTGTTTGTGAGCTTCTGTAGTGCAGGCTTTTTTATATGGCCTGATTTCTTCAGAGCCAAAACCTGGGATCCACATATTCCACTGGCGTTCTAGGGACAGCAACAGCATCCGAGTGGGTCGTGGTGAGGAAATGAAACCATACGCAGATGACGATTTGAACAAGGGATACAAAACAGGCAAGAGAAACAGACTCAGCCATTTAGAAAGCAATGAATAACCCACTATATCACAGTTCCCCAACCTTTCCGGCTTTGCAGAGGGGGGGGGAGGAGGAGGAGGTGTTCTGTGCAAGCAGTGTGTGTGCAGCTCCATTTGCATGAGCAGCGTGCACACGCACACCTTCTGCTCACACAAAAAGAACACGCATGTGCCTACTCACCTGCTGCTCGTTCAAGTGGCGATGTGTGTGTACACTTGGCCGCTGTTCCTATGGCCCGTTTGTAAATAGTTCACAGCCCATTAGTGGACCACGGCCCAGAGGTGAGGGACCCCTGCACTATATCATTGAGAAATACATGCTTTTGCGGGAATCTGACTCGCCCAATCTGAGCCCTTTCTTGTATCTCTTCTGGCAAACCTGTGAGGCACCTCATAAAAATACCTCAAGATCTTAAATCTTTCCAATATGGGCCTTGCATTCTGGGCTGACGGATGACTGACAAAAGATAAGCTTGCAGGCAAAAAGACAGGAAAAGTGAAGCATGATGCCATTTATGGTTACCAGAACGAATCTGGAAGCCACTTTTTTGGTGCTTCTACCATTGCAGGAGATTGATTTGTGATTCCTTTCCATGCATTTCCATGGATTGCCCCAAGGAGACTGTAGCAATCATTGGTTGGGAAGGTGCAGCTATGCAAAAGTTCCCACACCATATTACCCTATAAAACAGTGCTTACTAACCTTAGTAATTTTAAGAAGTGTGGACTGGCTGGGGTATTCTGGGAGTAGGAGTCCACACATTTTAAAATGGCTAAGGTTGGGAAAGACTGCTTTAAAACATGACAGCAATGCAGGAGTCACAGAATTGAAACTACCATGCTGCGGCTTGCAACTTTCTCCATTCCAGTGTCCTCCAGAAGTTATAGGCTACAAAAGTGCATCATGTCCACTGCACTTGCCTCATGGAAGCTGCACCTGTGTGTGTGTGTGTGTGTGTGTGTGTGTGGTGGTGGGAAATACTAGAGAAAACTTCTGAAAGGCCCAGTTGTCACCTGAGAACGCCACACAGTATTTATTACTACGATTCAGATAGTGGCTCACTGAAGGAGCAAAGAAGGAAAAAACAAGGAGAGTGACTAGCAGCAAGATGGACAAACTCAGCTATGGTGGCAATAAATGCACCACTGGGAGATTTGACAGAACTGCTTAGGGATAGATGATGGAGAAAATCTTTCTAGGTGTCAAAAATAACTTGATGGCACAGAATCAACCTAACTTGAGGGGAAAGTTTGCAGATTGTCTCTGCGAATGTAGCCCAGAAGAAACACTGCGGGTTATGGACAAAACAATCCAAAACAACTGATAGGTTAAGCTGGCAGCTGTCATGAAATAGACACATGTACGTCGTTGCACTGACCAAGATGCAGCTGGACATCCTTTACTTCCAAAGTGTTAGACTTGCGATGCCGTGCAAGCTGGCAGGCAGCGGTCACCACGCTTTCAATGAAGTCGTCAGCTATTTGCAGCAACATCTGTCAAAATGGAATTCAGCATCAGCAAGAATGGCAGAGGTCACCACACTTTGCTTCAGGAGGTTATTCTTCTGACAAATTCAAGGTACTGACAGAGCATTCTTGGGAAACCCCTCCCCCCAAAAGAAAAATTAGGAATAAAATGGCACATTTTAACAAAGGAGAGGTTTAGATGTTTGTGATAATCATTTCAGCTCAGGCCCGCCTACCTCCTCCACATCTTCATCCAGCTGTTCATTTGGATCCACTTCTCTAACCAGATCCTGTAGTTTCTTCTTTGTTAATATCTATAGAAAATATCAGTACATTTTATTGGGTTAGTTCAACCATAGTCATTTCTGCAGTTAAAATCAAAAGATCTTGCTTAGAAGGACTTCCAGTCAGCAACGTATATGGTGCCCCTAAAACTGGCTCAGGAATTCTGGGAGTTGAAGTCCACCAGTCATAAAGGGGCCATAATTCCCCACCACTGCTCTAAAGCAACTCCTCTACCCAGAGCCCTCCAGATGTGCTGACTACATCTCACATCATGGCCAATTACCTGATTACTTTCAGGACTGAGGCGCCCACCACTGCTAGGGGTCCCAGGCATCTTTGCCACAGAGGTATTGTTTGCCATGGAACTATGAGGAGGAGTATTGCCTGCTTCTGCTTTGATTGAAGAAAAGTTTGATAAATTGATCAAAGTAGATGGACCAAACTGGTTCATAATCTGCTGAGCTTTAGCCTTGAGGTCATAGAGCTTGTCCAGATCTTGCTTCTTCTTGGGATTATGTGGACCCAAACCAATCAGCTAGAAGAAGAAACAGACCTCAGACTTAAAAACAAGATGGCAGAATTGAAATGTCAGTATCTTGGACATGTTAACCAAGTTCAGGAATCTGTTATTACAAAAGCAACTTATCGATGAAAATATACCCAGTATTGTAAATAGCCCATTTCTTAGTTTTTTTTCCTGAGCCGTAAATTATTGAATGTAGTACATTAATTCAGCTCAGACTATATTAGTTTATTTTAACATTGCAACTTGTAACACCATATCAAGGCCAAACCATGCTGTACATGTACAATCAAAAATAGCAAGTTCAATATCATCTTTATTACTTTGGGTTTAAGAACAAGGTCCAGACAGAATACACAAAATATTTAGATTACAATGTTAATATTCCATTCTTATTATCATGCATATACTATGCTCAACACATTGACAAAAAGACAATGATATTAAGTTTTGTGGGTGAGATTCTCATTTAGAACTGCTTTCAATATAATCAAATATTTCTTGTCAAGATAGAATATGACTGCCATTAAAAGGAGCTGGCTATGAAAGAGAGGAAGGGCAATGAGTTCAAAGTTAGAATATAATATAATAGAATACTTTATTGGCCAAGTGTGATTGGACACACAAGGAATAAGCTTTAGATTCTTTTTTTCTAACCAAAGTTTAATTATTTTGCCTCATTCACATTTTACTAGAATACTGGTTTACATGGAAAGTGTTCCCTTTTGATAGGGTGGTTGTAACAATTTCTTACTGAGAGGAAGCACTGTGTTAGATCCAACCTGGGTCCAACCTCTTCCAGTACTATTTGCATGGCTCAATGTTTATTTCCTAGGAGGCTGTATCTTCTCTGATTTATTTTAAAAATATACACATAGAGTGTTTCTTTAATCTCACCTATTTGAAAGCTTCAATATTTAGGTTCATTGCACAGTAAGAAGGTACAATCTAATTTATCATCCTGGATTAACTGTCCTTCTAAAAACCAAGTTAAAACTTGGTTCTTATAAAATATTATATGGCTCCAACAATAATGAAATGCTAGAATGCAGAGATTGAACAGAATAGAATAACAGAGTTGAAAGAGACCTTGGAGGTCTTCTAGTCTGTTTAGGCAAATGTTATCCAATCTCTTCTTAAAAACTTCCAGTGTTGGAACATTTACAACTTCTGGAGGCAAGTTGTTCCACTGATTAATTATTCTGTCAGGAAGTTTCTCCTTAGTTCTAAGATTGCTTCTCTCCTTGATTAGTTTCTACTCATTGCTTCTTGTCCTGCCCTCAGGTGCTTTGGAGAATAGATCAACTCCTTCGTGGCAGCCCCTAAAATATTGGAACACTGCGATCATGTCAATCCTAGTCCTAGATTGATAGAATAAAGCAAACCTAAATTCTAATCTGTACAAGGACTCAGAAGAGAGATTTCAGTCACATATTCAATGTCTTGAATAGCATATAGATCATATATATATATATATTAATAAACTGGAAAGCAATGTATTCTTGCAAAGCTTGTTTACCATCAGATTTTAATCTCGGCACACGATTAAAATTAACAAGTTACACAAACCTGCAGCTTTTCATTATGATGCTAGTATGCCATGCGATGGTCACTTCAAGCCAATTTACTTACAGCTATCTGAGTATCTAGATCTTTAATTACATCAGAAACTGCTGTGGGGCCATTGAATGGAGAGGCCATTTTCAAAAAAGAAAAAAAAATGCTCCTGCAAATAAATGGTCAGAATTAACCTACATAACAGTTCTTCCCTGGTCATGAATACTTATAAAATTCTTTCAGAACATTGTGTTCTTGCCTCCAGCCTGAAAAAATAAGAGAGACTCTGATATGCAACAAAGCACCACAACACAGGATTTTCCTCCCCCTTTATGTCTCCTTTTAAAATGGTCTCATAATTTGGGACGATACTGCTCCAAACATTTTTCCAACCAAAGTCACTGACAGCACAAGCTTACAGAAATCAAAGCAGTAGTTATCAAAAGGCAATCCAAAAGGCGATACCATGTTCCATCAAGTAATTAAGAGCCCCAAAGGACTAAACAGCCTTGATTTGGTTCTAAAGGGGTTACTATTCATGGGTTTTACGGGTTGTTTAAGTAGGTGTATACATGGACGATCACAAAATAACGTACCAATAATAACACACACACACACACAAAATACTGTATTTTTTTCTTCAAAATACATTTTAAAAAAAGGATAAAAGGTGATATAGGGGCGTTTGAAAACCAAAGTCACGTCTACCAAAGTGGGACTCTTGCTGTCAAGGGGAGGAAGGCGGGAAGTCTATCTAAGAGAGCCCGAGTGATGTGGAGGCACTATTGGGCTGGCTGTGTGTGGGAATAAGTTACAGCTCCGTCCTCAGGCCAGCCCACCCTCAAGGGCTGTTGTGTAGGTAAAAAGAGTCCTGGGACTACACTTAGATATGGCGCCCAACGCTAAACAGCAAATAGGCATCTCTCCTAGACTCCTTTTCTCCGTCGCCTTGTCTGTTTAAGCGGGGTTTCATCACGGCCACCCCTATCACCGCCCCACTCCCTCCCTCCCTCCCTTACTTACCGGCGCCTCAGCCGCCTAGCTTCTCATACCGTCCGCGCTCCCTCGGACGAGCCGCCGCCGCCAGCCGCCTTCGCCTTCAGCGGGTTCTCCGCCGACACAACACTTCCGGGGTCACGACCGCGAAGCCACGGAAGTGCCGGGAAACACCCTTTTGCCAGCCCGCGCGCCAAACCGGCCTGCTCAACCAACCAATCGGGGCGTCCTTTTCTGCTTGTCGTCCGTGGGGCGGCCCTGGCTTGACTGCGCAAGCGCCAACTCCGGAGGACGCTGGTTTGGGAGTTGTAGTTCAGGCAGCCGCGGCGAAGTTGGTTTTCTTTTTCTTCCCCGTAGTCTTCGCTCTTGTTCTGGGCAGAAGAAAGCGGACCCCTCCGTAACGCGAGGAATAATAGGGCTCTCGTTCTGCCCGCTCGCAGGACGTTGCCTATCCAGGCGAACTGTAAATTTAAGGCAGGGGTTGCTGGCTGAGGAATTCTGGGAGTTGAAGCCCACAAGTCTTAAAGTTGCCAAGTTTGGAGACCTCTGATTTAAAAGGTTCCTTTGTACAACCCAAGATTAGTTATTTTTGGTGAACTTACTTCTTTTGGTTAGCTATTCTTCAGCACAATGAGCCAATTCGGAAACTGATTTCATTCAGTTCGCAGTCCCAAAGGTGTTTTTTCAGGACGCAACTGGACTTTTTTATTTTTCTTTTGAAGACATTTCACTTCTCAACCAAGAAGCTTCTTCAGCTCTGACTGGATAGTGGGGAATGGGAAGATTTATATTCCTTGCAGACAGCTGGACATTTGCATCCTTTTAGAGGGTCGTTGAAGCAAGGAAGTGCTGAAGAATAGCTAACCAAAAGAAGTAAGTTCACCAAAAATAACTAATCTTAGGTTGTACAATGGAGCCCCTTAAATCAGAGGTCTCCAAACTTGGCAACTTTAAGACTTGTGGGCTTCAACTCCCAGAATTCCTCAGCCAGCAACCCCTGCCTTAAATTTACAGTTGGCCTGGATAGGCAACGTCCTCTTGGATGAGAAGCAAAACATCTTCAAAACAAAAAAACAAGAAAGTCCAGTTGCTTCCTGAAAAAAAAAAGCACTTTTGGGACAACCATGACCTGGATGACTGAGAATCTCTACAGATAATCAGTTTGCAGGCTATAAGCATTTCGTGTGAACAAAGTGAAAAGAAGAATAAGGGAAAGCCAATCGATTTTGCGCTAATATCTTGGAAAGGGAAATAAATGCTTGCATCCCTCAGATATAATCCTTGATTTGGAGAAAGGAGATTGCGGTTCCAATGTCAATTGAGCTAGAACTGCGTTTGCACAACCCATTGAATCGTAAACTAGGCCAGCCCTTTTGGGTTGTGCAGCCCAGGCATACCACTGATTTATGGTGCAGCCAGCCATGCAAATCTAAGAAGCGTAGCTCATTCAACCGTGGGTCAGCGTATAATGCAAATGAAGCCAGGGTCTGCATTTGGCCTGGCTCAAGGTTTACTTCAGAAAATCTGTGCGTTAAAGTTAAGGCCAACTTTCAAATGGAAAGAAAAATCAGGAAACATATAAAACGAAAGAGATTTACTTGGAAAGGAATTGCCTTGTACTACGGTGGAATTGATTTATTCCAGCAAAGGTGTTTTATTTTTTTTTTCAGCCCTATCAGCGAAAGTTAATTAGCAAAGCTAAATTAATCCCCTCTGCTTCTTGCGCTAACTCTGCCTTTGACAGGTCTATCGAAAACTAAACTTTCAGGCTTTCTACCCAGAATTCCGCGCGTTAATTTGCATATCGGATAGAAAAAAGGAGAAATGTTCACCCTATTTGAAATCGGACCGCATTCGGAACTTCCTGGCGGCAGTTATGAAGTTAAATCTCCGCGGAGTTGACCAGGATGGCTGTCGTTGGGCAGCCTCCTCGCCCTGACCTAAAGAGGCGTCACGGATCAATGGGAGCGGCGCTCGCGGAGTCTACGTTTAAAAAAGGGCTTCTGCTGTGATTAGCACATGGAGAGGGGTGGCTGCGGCTCACTTCTTTCCGTGCGGAATCGCTATCAAGAGATTTCGGAAGCATAATTTTTGCGAATGGGGGCAGCTGGTAATCGCTTGTTCTGGCTCCCCGCCTAAAGGTTGTACGATGGTAGATTTGGTTTAGTGCTTAAACTTAGGTTGTCCGCTAAAGGAGGAACTATGGGAAAAACAGTTGAAGGGGAAAGTACGGCGCTGGGAGTCGTTGTTGTTGTGCAGCGCAGGCCACGGGGTCGCAAAGAGTGGGATGAGTCTGAAGAAAAGTAATCTTTTTCGTGGGCTGTGTGCTGTTACTCGCTCAGGAGTGGCACTTAAGTTGACTTATAATTGGTCCTCTTGCTTGTCAGACTGTAAGGTGATCCCTGGTCCTCACTGTGAAAAGTTAATCAGCATAGAGCTGCAAGGGACCTTGTAGGTCTACTCCAACCCTCCCCCCAAGCAAAAGACCCTATACCAAGGGTCTTCAAGCTTGGCAAGCTCAAGACTTGTGGACTTCAACTCCCAGAATTCCTGAGCTAAGATGACTGGAGGAGGAATTCTGGGAGTTGAAGTCCACAAGTCTTAAAGCTGCCATGTTTGAAGACACCCTGGTCTATAATTTCTCACAGATGGCAGTCCACTCTCTTGAAAGCTTCCATTGATTAAGCTCCCACAACTTCTGAAGGTCTTCTAGTCTGATCCCCTGCTCAAGCAGGAGACCCTTGTACTGTTTCAGACAAGTGACTGACAAGTTTTTTCTTAAAAATCTCCAGTGATAAAGCTCCCACAACTTCTGAAGGTAAGCTGTTCCCACTAGTTAATTCTTCTCAATGTGTTCAAAAATGACAACTAGTCCTCACTAGTGCTCCGTATCTGTCATGTCATTAGGACATGCAGTGTCCTCGGGTCCTGTGATCGCCATTTCCAATCTTCCCAGCTGGCTTCTGACAAAGTCATGACTGCATCTGTGTGAACATTAAGTTAGGCAACAGTGTTCATTGGCCTTGAGCTAACTATGGCTGGATTTGGTTAGTACTTGTCTTGGAGACCCCAAGGGTGGGCTGTAGACCAGTCTGAGAAATTGGTGGTGGTGGTGGGGGAATTCCTAAGGAAGCAAATAACTTCTTATGTTGGCCATGGGATGATCCATGCTGTCATCAGGAGGTGAGCTTGATTTGAAAGTGGGGTGTTTTTTTTTTCAATGGTACAAGCCCTGTCTTTTGTAGCTAGCTCTTGAATCAGTGTTAGGATGTATTTGCCCATTCCTGAGCTCAAGGAAGGGCTGTCTTCTGAAGTACAGCATCACCACAATGATCCTCACAGTGTAAGAAGAGGTTCTAGTTCTAATGGAACTAGATGATAGATGATAGAGAGTTGATACTGTGTTTCCCCAAAAGTAAGACCAGTCTTATATTTTTTTTGCCCTAACAAAAGGCATCAGGTCTTATTTTCGGTGGGATGTCAACCACTGACTAGCCTCGCTTGCGCACATCGCCCCCGGCCTCCTTTTCGTTGTCAGAGGCCTTCAGGAACCTCTTCTTCTGTGGCCAGCAAGGCTTTCCTGAAGGCCTTCGCTTTCCTCAACTCTCTCATATGCTGATAGGACGCTAGCCAAATGAATACTGATGGATACTGGTAAACAGAGGCAGGTTTTCCTCCACTTATTTTCCTCCCCAAAAACTAAGTCTGACCCAGAGGTGGTATTCAGCAGGTTCTGACCAGTTCTGAAGAACCGGTAGTGGAAATTTTGAGTAGTTCAGAGAACCGGAAAATGCCACCCCTCACTGGAGATTTTACAGTATCCTTCCCCTGCCACGACCACTAAGCCATGCCCACAGAACCGTAGTAAAAAATTTTGAATCCCACTACTGGCCCGACCATATCGTTTCATAGCGAAGCACGGGTATTGAGCTAGTATATAATATAGGGGCCCAGAGAATCTCCATCCCTAAACATGTTTCTTTTTGACTACTGTAAAATGCACAGAAGTATGTATTCACTGAAACATGCTAATGCATGTTTGTGAGTTTGTAGTATAAAACATAGATGCATATAGCGGCATATAGATGTATGATGTACACTGAAGATGGCATTTAACTTCATTGTATGAGGTGCAACGACAATAAAGTAAACTATAGCTGTATCTGGGAATGCACACAGGTAATGCCAGGTGCAAAGACATTGAGGTGTTAAGGGCATTTCACTGCTAAACTGGTTTCTCATATATCTTGTTTTGCACATGGTAATAAAAGATTTACAAGCCAGCCCTTGACTCAGAGGATATATACCTATTATCTGGCCCAGGGAGCCTGGTGCATTAACTTTAATCCTGGAAGTATTTACCTTTAATAAACCTTGTGACGACCTCATTAGCTTTCAGCTCCTCTTTCTTGGAAATCTCTCGTGGATATTGACCCCTGGAGGGCATTTACATTTGGGTGTCAAACAGAATGCAAACATCTACTACAGCCAGGAAAATCTTTTTGATTTTTCAGAGCGAAATTTAAAAAATCCAAGCAGATTTGTTAGTAATAGATGGCAAGGGAAGATGGAGAAAAAAAGCAGTAGATTTTTAAAATTTGGTTTACAAAATATTTCTCAAGTGAATAAGAACAGAAAGTAAGTTTAATGAGCTCTGCTGAATGAAGTTTTGCTCTTTTCCTTCACCTGGGAATCTCATAACATGTACATGTGTTCTTAACAATTGTCTGATCTGCAATGCAGTCAAAAGAAATTATAATGCAATTCTACACCCCCATTCTCCACTGTTGTTTTTGGACTACAGGGCAGGCAAGCAAGGATTGTTGGAATATTTGTCATTCTCATGAGTTTGACAACCCGAGACTTCGTTAGAAAGTTCCTCAGCTTGGGCAGGGAAAGTAAGCATGGATCAAATGAAGTATTGTCCTTTGTAGATGTATCAGCTGACCCTGGTAGTTAGAATGAGGCAGTGTCCTCAGATGGAAAATCTTTGGAGGTAGCAGCAAGATATATGGGGAGGAAAACTTGTGTGCCTTAGTCTGGTTGTCTTGTGTTCTCCAAACCACTCTAACTGGAAAATACAATTTTATCATCAGCTTCATAAAGTAAGATTTAATCCCTTCACGGGCGGATGTT